AATAATACCTGTAAGGATGGACATCATCAAAAGGACAAGAATAAATACATGTCAGCGAGAGTGAAGAGAAAAGGGAACCTTGGAACACTGTTGGTGGAGATTTAGGTTGGTACAGCCATATGGAAAACAGTACCAAGATTTCTAAAGAAAATAAAAATAGAACTACCCTGCAATCCAGCAATTTTGCCTTGAGGTATAGGTGTACCCAAAGGAGATGAAATGAAATCATAGCCTTGAAAAAGATTGTTCACTGTAACATTGTTCACAATAGCCCAGAAATGGAAACAACCAAAATGTCAATCAACTAATGGATTAAGAAAACATGGTACATATACATGTACGGACTCATGCACACAAATATTATTCAGCGTTAAAACAAGGAGATCCATTTGCCACAACATTGGATAGACCTGGAGGACATTATGCTAAGCAAAATAAGCCAGATAGAGAAAGAAAAATATTACAGAATATTGAAGAAAAAAAGATAACGTTTCATTCACAGAAACTGACGTGAGATGGGGGGGTGGTAGTGAGAAACAGTGAAAGGATACAAAATACTAAATATGTAGAATGAAATAACTTAAGTTTTAATATTCATCAAGACAACTAAAGTTAATAAAGTTGTACAGTTTTAGGGAGTTTTGTTAGAATTTAGTTGCCTGACACAAAACAATATGAGATGATAGATATAAATCTATTTTACTCTAGCAAACATTTTACTATGTACATGCAACCCATAAATTCATTCCATAAAATATATATTACATTTTTAAAAATCAATTTTAAAAATCAATTTTTAAAAAAGCTTATTATTTATCATAGATAAAATATGCAAATCATATGGCTCCTTATTCCAGTCTCTCAAGCCAGCCTGATCTTCAGCTAAGAATCCTGGTCACAAGGAAAGCAGATTATGTTCCCTGATCCCACAAGAAATAATTGCAGGGGTCTAGACTGGTATGAAATCTCCAAGGACTACCAGGGTCATCTGGGATCCTAGATACCTCAGAATAAGGAAGGACCTGAAATTGCTCCATAGCAATTTCCTGAAAATCTGGGCTCCAAAATTATAAAGCCAGCTCCAGTGTACTTTACTCACATGATTTTTTAAATATAAGTACAGAAACTGTAAATACAAAATCAGATATATTGAGTCCTCAATTGCTCTTACCCAACTCAGAGAATGAAATTAAGCAGGATTTATCTCCCATTTATACAAAAATAATCACCAGTTTTTTTTTGGTACAGGGGATCGAACTTGGGACGTTCTGCTTGTGAAGCAGGTGGCAGAACCACTGAGCTAAATTCCCAGCCCCAGATATGTTTGAGGAATAAATTTCAAATAAATATGCAGCTCATTTTTTTAAGGCATACCTTCATACACTTGGCTCTAAAGAGACTCAAAAATGAATAAAAACTTTATTGTTTTTAGCAATTTTTAAATCTTCCAGTCATCATTTAAGGATACTACCAAGCATAAGAGATAGAAAAATGATTTCTATATTTCATTAAATTTAAAATATCATCAATTATAAATTGCACCATTATTTTATGTGTTTAATACAAAAGTCAATTTAAATTGATATGTACCATTAAAATGTATCTTAAATTCAGAGCTATTAAAATATTTAAAAATTGGTATCATAACACAGTTGCAATGCAGTATGTACATACTTGAATCTCTGAATAATGCCCCCAACCAGAAACCTAATCTATACATCAACTACGGGGGGGGGTGATAATATTTTTGTAACACCAAAATCCCTAAAGCCTCAGACAAACCTTCCTTAAAAGTCAACATAAACTACCAGAATCAATAATCAAAGAATCAATAATCAATCTTAATGCAAATACAAAGACACTCAGCTTCCCAACAAATAACTAGATAATTCACTATAGTCTAAGCAAATGATTTCAAAACTATACAAGTCAAGAACCTAACTAAACATCCCTGGAATCCCAGCACCTAGAAGGCTGAGACAGGAGGATTGACAGTAATTAAAAAGCCAGCCTGGGCTACACAGTGAGTTCAAGACCAGCCAGAATTACTGAGCAAGGCTCTGCCTCAAAAACAAAACAAACAGGGCTTGGGATTTAGCTCAGTGGCACCATGCCTGCCTTACAAGCACAAGGTCCTGAGTTCAATCCCCAGTACCAGGGAAAATAAACAAACAAAAAAACACCTAAAAAACAAAAGAACCTAAACACCAAATGACTTTCTGAATAACTCAGTTGGCTGGGACCTATGTATCCTTTTAGTCCTTAAACAGCACACAGGCATTACCTTAGAACACTGAGTGCCACCTACTAATAGAAAAAAAGTTAATTCTGGAATTATATACTATGAACACAGTGGACTAGTTTTTAATTTACAGCAACTTATAGATTTAAAAAACCTTATCACATCTTTTCAAAAACAATGACAAAGAGCAAAGCAGAAAGAGAGAAGATCGTGTGGGCCTAAAAATTTTCAGAAAGAGAAGCAAACACAAGAGAATGCATTTATTAATTTAGCATTATCAATAATTAATTCAATTACAACATGAAAACACATAAACATCTCTACTAAATTTACCTACTTCAAAATTCCTAAAGCCTATTACTTTTCCTACACCAAAATCTGATACATCCTATAAAACATTAAAATATAAGCGTAAGTATTAAAGTAAATTCACAATGAAAATTATACAGGACAAAGAAGATCCATAAATGCAAACTATCAAAATCCAATTATGCATTAAGAATAAACATTCAAAATAGGCAATACAGAATATGTAAAAAGTGCCCATAAACATAGCAAGTCCATCTCCAACCAAAGGGAAAACATAAGGATAAACTTAGTTACTTCACTAACAACTTGATTTTAAGTCATGGCCATCCCATATAGTAAGACTGCAGTATTACTAGGTAATGTATATATGTAAACAAGGACATTAAAGTCATATTGCTTCATGCAAAAAGTGACCCTACTAAATAAAAATAAAATTTAATGTTGATAGAGAAAATCAAATAACTAAGAAATTAACTTTTTCTTCCTTTTTGATTTTTTTTTCAGAAGGCTCAATCTGATTATCTACTTGGACATTAAGCCTTAGAGTTTAGAAATTCAAATACCAGAAAAGGTCCACTAGTGTAAACAAAAATGACCAAATGTTCATAATTTTGAAGATGAGTAGTGGGTACATTGGTAGCTCATTATATTGTGCTCTCTACTCTTAATGTATGCTTTGCATCTTAGATCAGAGCGTAAAGTGAAAGAAATAAGACAAACAAGCTTAAATATTGCATGGTTTCTCTTACATGAGGAACACAAATTATAAATAAAGAGTAAAATAAAAGATAATAGGAAGTACCAAGATAGAGCTTTCTCAGATGGAAAGTGGATCAAGAGATGGAGGGAGTAGGGCAGGAAGGGAGGAAAAGGGGCCAAAAAAAGGGATTAAGACAGTTACATACACGTGCCAACTCCATGCAGGGAATGTAAACATTATGCATGAACACATAAACTAATAAAAATATTTTGCAATCCATAGTAATGTTAAGTCTATACTTTTTGCAGATACACCAAGCAGTCTTCTTAAAAATCTTTAATTCTAAAACAAATTTAATAGAAAGCATCAATTTATCAGTAACTTACTCGACAAGGTACAACAACTTCAAAGTAGTGTTCAAATCACACTAATAATTAACAATAGACACAGAGGCACATCTGCTTAGAAGTCACTAAGGAAATTATGCAATTAACTGTATGTCTTTTTGTTTTTAAGTTATATCATCAATTATTATTTAAAACTTCATTCTTAAAACTGGAAGGAATATTTTCTAGTGCAGCAGTCTGCAAAATTTTCAAAGTACCTGGAGAAAAGGACCAGCAATGGATCACTTGTTTCAGATATCAGGATTGTGCGTACATTTTCTTTTTTAAAAAGTTATAGCTGCTTTTAAAAGAAAAGGGCTTAACAGTCCATTGTTTCATTTCACTATCTACAGCCTAAAGGCAATACAACGGCCCAAGAATGTTAAATGACTTGTACAATATTCAATTACTGTCGCCTTCTAGAATTGATTTCAGGACTGTTGACTACTTGCCCAATTCTCTTTTAAAGCAATACACCACCTTAAATTTAAGTTACAGTTAAGAATAAAGTGCTTCATAAGAAAACGAAAAAATGGAAGCAAAGTTTTTGTAACTAGGGAAAGGTGGAGGAAGTGAAGGAAGGGCAGCGGTATGGCAAAAAAATAAGAACCAAGATCTGTCATGTAAAGGTTCAAGATCTGAATGACAAATGTAACTGTAGTGTATACTTAAAAAGTACGAATAAACTTAATGAGAAAAAAAAAGAATAAAGTGCTTCAATTTTTTATATGTAAAATAAGTTTATTAGACAAGATCATCTCTCAGATAAGTTTCTGAGTCTAAATTCTGACATTACAAATGGCAAATTTAACAGAGGTCCACATGAAGGGAATGAATGAATGAATGAATGTTCTCAAACACAGAGGAACCCTTCAAACATTTTCAAAGACCCTAAAGAAATACAAGTCAACCACAGAAACAAGCTGGCACTAAGTCAGTTATTACCTTTGGGTCCAAAAAACATTTCTATAACTTCCCCAACTTTTAACAGTGTGTCTAGGATACTAAGAACAGTAATTCTAGGATATGAAACAGTGTTCTCAAAGACCATTAAAATAATCATACTAAAAGGTTTTTTTAAAATTATTATTTGATATTTTAGAAAGAATACTGACCTAACTATAAAAACATACAACTGGGGCTGGGGATGTAGCTCAGCGGCACAGTGGCTACCTGGCAAGTGTGAGGACCAAATTTGAATCCTAGTACCAAAAAAACACCCATACAAAACTCTACGAAGATGTTCAAGTTACTGAGTGCCTCATAAAGAACAAAGCACATTCTTCTCTTAAGTTTAAAGTAACTGAATTCAGACAAGCTTTACATCTAACACAAGTGACCACAATAAAGTTTTAATTCTCACCTATTAAAGCCTGAAAGAGGTTGCTCTGAAATATGTTGATAACTCGTTCTATGGAACCTCTGAGCTGTCTATCTTCAGTTTGGCTTAGTTTAGAACGATACTCTTCCAAAAGATGCAACGCTCTCTGGGTATCTGAGAAGAAAAGAAGACTAGTGAAAAGTGCGTACATTTACAACAAAGTATTATATGTTGACACAAATGATTCTATAAGACATCTAAATAGTTTCCAAATCCTTCAGGTCAACTGCTGTCGCTAGGTTCACTACACATATTCCCTAGAATGGCAAGAAAATTTTAAAAACATATTAAGTAGAAAAAGGAGCAGCTAAGCAGTTTGCAATAAATGTGGACTGGCAGTTTACAACAGTAAAACACCATTTGATCAAAGTATTAGCAATCTAGTTTCAGATTACCTAACAGGCCAAAGCAAATTATCTACAATATGTCATAGTCCTATTTTTAAGTTTCAAAACACTAGTTCTTAGTATCCCAGTTGCTGACAAAACGACCAAAGTGAAATACTAACACATCAATTTAGTTTTTAAAGACATGGGGGGCGGTGTTTCTCTAATTACTGGAGAGATGTCATCATGAAAGTAAGTTTAACATACACTTAGGTATTTCCATCGTCTTAAACGCTGCTTAGACGCCCTACGCAGTAAAGGAAGGTCCTGGCTATCTCATTCAAGTTTCAAAAACAGTTTTAAAAACAGCAATCACTGACAAACTGACAAACGATGGGAAAGAAAGCAACATTCACAAGAGTTCTGAGATAAATTCTTACCTTGCTTCCGGACCGGCATTTTTCTCCGGGAATCAGGAAGATGTTCGCACACCTTTAAATACACAAACAGAAAAGGAAAAAAAGAACTAAAGAATCGAATTGTGGCTAAAGTACTATTTCCCCTAAATCTCCAGAAAACTCCCAGTCCTAGCTGAAAAGCCCACCTTCCAAAGTTTTCCAAAGTGAAAGAAAGAGCCTCAAAGCCCAGGAAAGTCAGTACACAAAAAGCTGCTTCCTAGGGGTCGGTAGCCCTACCGATCTGGAGCTGGCACAAGTCTTACTTTCAAATTCTTCTCTAGGTCTTCCCCCTCCCCAAAGAGCACTAGAAACCTGGAAGAGAGCCCTCCCCAAACCCCGCAACACCGGCCCAAGTACCCAGTCTCCCCACCTGCTTCGGGGGGCGAGTAGGTGAGGGGCGCCCCAGTTCCGTCTCAGCACTTAAGAGTGCGCACGAAGGGTCTCAGCCTCGAGTCCTCGCCCCGCCCGCACCCCCTCCCCTCGTTTGCCTTGCTTCTCGCCCTCCGGCTCCGGGCCACTCTGGCGAGGACCGTACAGGACCGCAGCCACTCTTCGCGACGCCCTCGAGCCCCACATGCACACCTCCGCCGGCCCCCACACCTGCGGCGCGGTCACAAAGTTCCCGCGGGCAGCAGGAACGGGC